GATTTGTTTAAAATATTGCAGTTAACTGGTGAGACTGTTGGTGAAGTGAGAACTGTCTCAGATATGCACCAAAGGAAAGCTGAGATGGCCCGTCAAGCCGATGCTTTCATTGCCCTCCCTGGTATGGATTTCACCCATCAGTCGGACATATTGCAAGTGACATGATAATTGAATGCTAAAGATAGTTGTCTACAAGTGTTTGGGTGATTGTTAGCTGTTGATGTGTGTGAATCCAACACCGAGTCACACATACAACAAGAGTTGACAATTATTCAACACGCACGCACGTGAATGACTGTCCAAAGCAATCTCGCAATTTGTTTTATTAGGTCCTTCTTGTGAAATTGACTTTTAAGTTAATATGATCAGGTGGTTATGGCACTCTAGAAGAATTGCTGGAAGTCATTACCTGGGCTCAGCTTGGAATCCACCGCAAACCTGTAAGAAAATAACTCTAATATTTCTCAATCCTTTCTATAAAATGTTTTTGAATGGCATAAATTAATTTATAAATCATTCCAAACCTTTAAAAGGAAGCAAGGGCCTTGCATGATGCCATGTTTTGTGTTTGTTCAAATGTAGTTATGATCTTGTAGATAATTGGTGCTGATGTCCCCAAATTTGCTGCTAACCCAAGATTAACAATCAATTTCTTCACAATTAAGAATATTTTATCATCTCCCTTGTCTTCATTAATAGTTGTATGCTATGCCTTATGATAAATAAATTATTAATCATGTTTCACAAGCACACGACTCTCTTTCATTCCATAATTCCATACAATTAGAAAGTGTCATAATATGTAGCGAATCAATGCATGTGGTACTTAATTCTAATTCACATGGAAAGATAGCATAAGATTTGGGATTTTTGAGTCATAAGTCGTGGTTCATGATGATTAGGTGTTTGATTATTTTGAGGATCTCCGTTTGAATGGGAGAAAGAGGTTTCTTTATGGGCTTTATCTTTTGTTTAATTTGATTTTAATTGTTTAATCATTTAATTAAGCGGTTGTTGGTCAAAAGAAGGGTGTTGTTGTTGGTCGCAAGACAATGAAGACATAAAAAAAAGTTCATATATAATATGAAATATTAATTGTATGTTTGGAAATGGATATTGTTAGTTAATTGTTTGATTAATTAATTAATTAAGTGGGAATTATTATTATTTTTTAATTTTAGGTGGGCCTCTTGAATGTGGACGGCTTCTACAATTCTTTGTTGAGTTTCATTGATAAGGCCGTTGATGAAGGCTTTATTTCTACTACTGCACGTCAAATCATCGTGTCTGCTCCAACGGCCAAGCAATTGGTCAGACAACTTGAGGTATTTTGCTTCGTCTATATCATACGAAAGAATATGATCATCATGATCAAGATTTAAACGGACATGATTCATGTGGATCTTTAATACGAATGCAACTCTCTCAATTAGAAAAAGAAAGAAAACTAGGACTCTGCATACTTTTTTTTGTAGCAGATTATCATATTTTAGTGTTACGAATAATTAGGTATCATTAGTATGCCAGTCCAGTTCAATCCGGTAAAAGAAAATTGGATCCGACTAAACCCTATGTGGTCGAACTTCGCTACAATGTTGGGTTGGGGGCATTATGATATATATGAGCCTAATTATAGATTAGGGAATGAAATAACATCAAAATGTGTGTTTAAAACTTGATATGATTTTAATTTATGTCGGTTTTTGGTAATCTCAGGAGTATGTACCAGAGCAGGATGAAATAACATCAAAGCTGGTTTGGGAAGAGGTGGACAGAATAAGTTATGTGTCTGAACCACGTGATGTGTTGGCTTTTGATTGATCATGCAATACAAAGTCTCCCCTTTTTGGGTGTTTTGGGTTTCACAGTATATACGGTTCATATACGGTCTGACACCGTACATCTACATCAGCAGCAGTATAGGAACTTTGGGTCTTTTTGTAGCTGAGCCAGAAAAGGCTGAAGCACCCTCTCAAAGTCTCCGATATATAATATATATTATATTTATCTTAAGTTTAAAAAAAAAACGAAGGAAGAAAAAGAAAAAGAAAGATGAAGGAAATGCTTATCATCCATCGGTGTCTCTTTTTGGAAAACTCTGAGGGAATTCAATTGAAGTTTCTTCTTGCTATATTGGTTTATTTATACTGTATCGATCCTTTTGTGACATGTATGGCTTCTGCAGTTTCTGCTCTAAATTTGAGAGCAAAATATTAGGAGAGTACTAGAAGATGAATTGCAATGGGAAATTACATTACAATACCCAAAAAAACAACCAAAAAAAAATTGTGGAAATTGGTTGTAAGATAAACAAAATTAAGCAAAAATTACATAATAAGAACTATTTTATTTTTCAAAGACAAAGATTCGTAGGGATCAAACTTAACTGACCTAACTCATGTCTAATTTATAAAGAGTAAAATTTGAAAGGACAAGTATAATGTCGTGTTCAACTCACCTAATTCACCTATCGGCATAACAACTAAATTGACAGAAGACGATTTGACTAACTAGTTCAAATAATTTTCGGGTTAATTTATAAGAAACGAGAAACATATGTTAGTTGGGTTTGTACTCTTACTACCAGCACCATGACGGTGGTTGTTGTTATTCTTATTGCTGCGTTATTATAAAATGGTTTTGTCACCAAACTTGAGGACAGCTTGTTGATTGGGTTCTCACTTCTCTCAAAGGCCAGGTGGTGTGACCATGTGAGGCACATGAAGAATTTTAATGTCTAATTACACTTAATTAAATTGATAGATCTAATAATAGAATCCGAATCAGATCCTCACCCTCTAAGGTCAACTCAATATATAAGCATGGTCAATAAATCTAAGGGTCGCCTGTTGTTGGTAGAAACAAAAATGAATAAACAGAATCAACTTTGCTGTAAAGTCACTGGATCTTTATAGTCCATGATCAAACAATTGTAATGTGAACAGCATACACTTTGTATCTAATCTTATCTGCAAATCTTTTGCTTAAGTTCTTCTATCTAACATAGATAGTCTCTTAATTTGGTGGCGTTCTCTATATTTTATGATAAAGAGAATGGATAATAATCATGATTGTTAATCAAAAGGGTGTCCTTAGTCATCATAAGAGATTTGAAATTTACGAGTTTAATGTCATACAGCTTGAGTTAAGTCAAGAAAAGAAATGGGTTAACACCCTCATGGGTATAAACTCATGGAACTTTTTAACACAATCGTAAAGAGAGATTTGATCGGTGCATACCAATCAACGATTGTCAATGCACTTGGATTCCATCGGTGCATACCAATCAACGTTTGTTAGTCACCCACACCCACATGTGCATGCATAGATGACATCGACGACAAACGCACACCAGCTAGCAAAATTCAAAATCCTAATCATGGTAGCAGTTGCAAATTTCTCCAATGACCCTCATCTAACATAAAAGTAAAATTATGTTTCCAGCCTGTAAGTTTAGTCGATTTGTTCAATTTTTAACCCAAGAACAACACGCTTTGGAAAGATTTTTTTATTTTTTATTTTTTCAAAAGTTTCTTCCAGTCTTTAGCTAGTGCAGTGGAAGTACTAGACAACAATATTGAATTTGAATCACATAATGCCTCTTTCTGTCTCTAGGGGGGCGTTGACAAAGATAAATACACAATCATATCTTCTTGTAGTTCTATGTTCAGCTTATCATTGTAAATTTTCAGTCTGCCAGTACAAAAGTTGCTGCTGTTTCTGTCTGTAAACAAGTTTAATAGGCTCATTAAATTGCTATTGTCTCCTTCTCACTCTAAAACTTGTTTAACTGGAGTTCACAGAAATGATAAGCAATTTTGGGGAAAACCATGAAAAAGAAAAAGAAAAACCAGTGGAAATGGCAGTGAGTAGCTCTAAAAGTTTTCAGGGCTGTCATCCAATTGTTTCTCATCTTCTATGTCTACCTCCAAAATTTCCTGAGGAAAAAATGAAAGGACATTAATTTTCAGGGTGTAAATATCAAAGTAATTTTCAGTGAGAAAACTAACTCACAGGGATTCTCTGCTTGAGATAATTGGCCAATCTAGCCAGAACCACACTGCGTTCGTGCCAAAACCGGCCTTTGAGACTGATCTTCACATAGGGCCCGTCCAGTTCGGCAAGTTCAACTTGCCCTGCAAACCAAACCAAAAGCATTCTCAACATCTAAACTGAAACCAACACGAAATAACTAAAGCTAAAATTAAGCACCTGTCATGCCAACAGAAGTGTCAAAGAGCTGTCCAAATTCAATTCTTGCATCTGCCAAGACCTGTCTGATATTGTCTTCTGTTAGATCGAGAGGCTGTGAAGGCTGAAGTGTTGCTGCTGATATGGTTGAGAATCTCTTTCTGGTTGTTGTTGGGTTTGTACAGATCCTCAGCCTCTGGCTTGCTTTGTGGTTGTGGTTAAGGGTTTTCAGGGTTTGGGTTTTGGTGATGTGATGACAAGTAATGGGGAGGAGGGCTGGTGTTGGGGTGGTTGATGCGATTTTGGGGTGGTTGTGATGAAGAACTGATTTGATCTTCATCCTTCCTCACCCTTGCAAAGCTTTTTCCTTCGATTGTCTTTCAAAGGCAAGCGCTGCTATGGATGAACCAAGACCAACCAACCAGTGGAGAAATGGATAAGGAGCAGTTTTTTGATGGACAGAATTCATTCATTGCCTGGTTCTAGTAGGTCTTAAATTGGGTTTTATGGGTAATTTCTGCTGAGGCATCTAAAGCCTTGGATGCGACTGAAACTAGAGAGAGTTATCCCAGTTTCATCTTAATCTGACTACTTTAAGCCATCAAATTCGTAAGGGTTATTTGCAATAATGCAAAGCCATCAAATTCATAACTCAGATCTTGCTCATTACATATTTTCACTGGTAGGTTGATTGCAGTATCTTTTCCTCCCTTCAAATTCTGAATAAGATGATGATTTGAAGATCAGTTGTCTACCCTTTAAACCCCAACCAATCATCACAGCAGAAAAAGGGAAAAATATAGGAGCTAGACGATTATTCTCTCCATCTTATAATTTACTTGGAAAAAATACACTTACATAGCCTCAGCCTGCTTCCACGGTGCCAAATAAACTTTCCTGCTTAAAACCTACACACCATTGTAATTTTTAACTGCATTATTATGGTGCATCAAGCTCCTAGGCTTTTGACCCAGTTGGACCATATCATATGAACATTAACACGATAAAACGGCTGGGGTACTTGAATTCTCTGAAAATCTGGGTAAGTCCCATTCATTGGGTTTATTGTGACAGGCTGCTGCTCAAATTACCAAGAACTGAAAAAGACATTACACAAATACAAAACTCGTTTACAACTCCCTATCTGAATCCAACATAGATACGCAGTGTGCTACCACTATATCGCGGAGAAGTACTCTTTGCTGAGCTTGGGGTCTGGCTTCATGGATTTCTCCCCAGGCTTCCAACCAGCAGGGCAAACTTCATCAGGATTGTCCTGAACGTACTGCAAGGCCTGCAGGATCCAACCCAGGCAAAGAAAAGAAGCGACAAAAAGCAATTAGAAAATGTAATAGGCAACACAACAACAAATTTCTCAGATATAAGGCAGATCTTGGAAACTAAATCATCCCATTTCTATCTTGGCCTTGATGAATATGTTTACCTGGAGCGTTCTCTTAGTCTCATCCACACTACGGCCAATGGCAAGATTGTTAATGGTGGAGTGTTGAATGACACCTTCCTTGTCAATAATGAAAAGTCCTCTCAATGCAACTCCCTATCACAGTGAAACCAAACTTCTAAGTAATCCAGATTATAACATCATTGAGTCTCCCACAAGTTTCTTATTCACTAAATTCAAAACCAATTATAATTAAATCTCATACCTGATCCGGGATCAGCACACCATAGGATTTTGAAATTGATTTGGTGACATCAGAGATCAATGGATAGTTCAAATCACCAAGTCCTCCTGACTTCCTATCTGTTTGGACCCATGCAAGGTGCGAAAACTACGGAAAATACAGTAAAAGACTAATATAAATTCATCTCGCAAACCCAAGAGCAATTCTCAAACCATTTTACATCAAGTAAGCACACACACATACGCACAAATCCGATGTGCAAAACATCAAATACAGAAGTCAAAATAACCAAAAATTGGAGAAAATAAGCTGATTCACATGATCATCAATCATCATCAAGCACACAACCTTCTGATGTTGCCAGCCTTGGTGAATCCTTTTTATTCCAACCATAAATATCAGTTCTCCTAGTTCTTTTAATGTTTCAACCATCCTTCTTTTCTCGGTTGAATGCCCTTCTTGTCTATAAGTGTTGTTTCTCCACCAACACTGGGAATTGGCATTTTGGCCCAAAATCACATGCATTGTTTGCCCCACCCACCCCACGAGTCCAATTTCTGTTGGAAGTCAGAAAATCCGATGCATAAAAACTTAATTCCATGAACACACTTAATCTTGACATTTTTAAATTTCATCCCACGGTACAGACAGAAGCATTATCTCGTATCAAAATAACGAAGCATATATGTAGTCCGAGGGGGAATTTTGCACATTATAATATGTGCATGCTCATTGACCTTTTGCAATATGGTGCAGTAGACCAAAACCTTGGACAAGGTTATAACACGTCTGTAAGCAGAAAATTGACTTTGTTGTGGAATGTCTGGCAATGCATTATAAAAGAACAATGCAAATTAAAGATTTTTTTTTTTTTTTGAAACAAGGGCTTTTCAAAGGACATTATGATATTACAGATAGTGGGAAGCAGCAATGAACTTACCCGGCGTGACGATCGCTGAAAGCAGTGATTTCTGCAACAAGGGTCAAACACAGAAAACATAAGGAGAACTCAGCATCGAATAAAGATTGAAAATTTTGCAGAGAAATGTTGACGGTGAAAAGAAACCTGTGGGACAAACAAATGTGAAGTCTAGTGGGTAGAAAAACAGAATCACATATTTCTTCCCAATGTATTCAGAGAGCTTGACCTGAAATTCAAAAGCAAAGCTTCAGTTTCCACAAACCCAAAAATTGAAATTACAGCATGCGATTGCAGAAAAAGAACAAAGAGTTAAAGATTCGACCTTGATGAATTCCTGGTCGAAAACAGCCTCAGCCTCAAAATCAGGAGCTACGTTTCCAACCAGAGGAAGCTCATCCACAGAAGCTTTGACAAGGAAGGACCTTCTGGAATGAGCTCCGCGGGAGAGAGAAACCGAGTGGGCGACGCGTGGCAGGCGGAGGCCATTGAAGGATTTGGGGAAGGTTAGGGTTTGGGAGATGGGCTTGGAAACGGAGTAAGAAGCGACGAGAGGCGTGGATTTGGAGGAGAAAGCCCTAGATGGGGTTGAGGAGATGAGAGCGGTGGAGGTAGCCATCGTTTGTTGAGAGCTCACCCACTCAGTCACTCACTGGTCAAGAGTTAGTGTGTGTGTGGGCTGAGAGTCTTAAGGTTGAGAATAGGTAGGGGACGGTGAGAGGATAAGTAGTGGTTGGAGGGTTGGTGACTAGGCTGAACCGAACCGGCCAACCGGGCTCCATACATTTTGGGGAACCATAGAAATCTAGGTAACTAAATATATATATATATATATATATTGTTGTTGTATAATTTGTGTTTTTGGAGCTGGCATTGTTACATGGTTTGGGCCTTCATTTGTGGAATTTCATTTTTTTGTTAGGTCCTTTGGGTAATGGAAAACATATTAGGATTATGTTAGGTCAATGGTATGTTTTTCTTGGTGCCCTAAGTTCGAATTCTATGTAAAATATCGAACTTTGGGTTACTATCCATCTCGGATTGACTTTGGGGAAGTGAGGAAGTTTTGGGGCCTTGTGGTCGAAGTTTGCTAGGTAGAATCTTGTACCTTAGCATTGTGGTTTGAGATTCTTAAATGGGGAAGCAATTTGGACTCAATTGTAATTGATTTTACTTTTTCATCATTATGTTGTTCGATTGTGAATCTATACAACACATTATAATAAAAATTAATATGATAAATAGTCTTACCATGCAATCTAGCAATATAAGCATCCTATGCTACGATGATTATGAAAGTTTCAAAGAATTGAGATTTTTTTGGGTAAAATAACATTTCCCCTTAGTGAGTGAAATTGAAAAATTTGCAAATCCTTTTGAGATTGAGTATAGTGGAGTCATTCTATAGTGAGGGCCTTATATCTAAGGCTTTTAGATGACATCATATATCTTAATCATTGGATAAAACTAACCAATTTAATTCAATATCTAATCAATTTTATCTAACGATTAAGAAATAGGGCCTCATCTAAAGGTCTTAGATAAGCCCTCACTATAACTATAGAATTCTTGGAGTATAGTGATCAAATTTCTGGGTGTAACCAACAACTCCCTCTGTTATTGGCATTGTAAGGTCCAATAAAATGGGCTGGCCCAATAATTTTCCTTCCTGTTTTCATAGAGATTACTGATTATATATTTTTTGGGTCAAAAGATAGATTACTGATTACTCCCTCACCAATCAGAGTCTCCACAATGATATTGCTTGGAGCATTTTAAGCCTTATCCTCTACCCATCCCACACCCCTTTCTCCTTCCCTCCCCTTCTCCCCAAAACAACACTTCTACAACTCATACCCAGCCATGACCAGTACCCAAACCACACCCAAACAACCAAATGCAAGAAACACACTTCCTCACCACCACCAAGCAACCCTTTTTCTCCTCCTACTCTCACCCCAACCCCAACCCCAAACCCCAATCCCTCTCCTCCTCTCACCATGACTCTTTCCACTCTTTTCACCCCCCAAACCCCAAATCCCCCCACTTCCCAATCCTCTCCACCAAAACCACCCTCTCCCTCCCCCTCCAATCCCTCAAGCCACCCTCCTCCCCAACCCCCCACTCAGACTTCCAGGAAAAAGTCCTCTACCTAGACTCAATCGGCCTCGACTTCTTCTCCTTAATCAACCACCACCCTCCGATCCTCTCCTCCCCTCTACCCCACATAAAATCCACCGTCCATTTCCTCCTCACCTCCATCGGCTTCACCTCCCAGGAGCTACGCCGCCTCATTGGCATGTGCCCCGAAATCCTCTCCTCCCGAGTCGCCGAAATCATCCCCATCCTCACCTTCCTCCTCCGCGAGGCCCATGTCAACGGCTCCGATCTCCGCCGCGTCCTCAATCGACGCCCCAGATTGCTCGCCTGCTGCGTCAAGACCCGCCTCCGCCCCACCCTCTACTTCCTCCAGAGCATCGGCATTTCCCAAGTGAACAAGCACACCTCTCTCCTCTCCTGCAGCGTCGAGGACAAGCTCCAGCCCCGAATCGACTACCTCGAGAAAATCGGGTTCTCTCGCCGAGACGCCCTCTCCATGTTTCGGCGGTTCCCGCAGCTCTTCTGCTACAGCATCGAGCAGAATTTCGAGCCGAAATTCAATTACTTCGTGGTGGAGATGGGGCGAGACTTGAAGGAGCTCAAGGAGTTTCCGCACTACTTCTCGTTCAGCTTGGAGAATCGGATTCGGCCGAGACACCAGCGGTGTGTGGAGAAAGGGGTTTGTTTTCCTCTGCCTGTTTTGTTAAAAACCAGCGAGGTTCAGTTTCGGGATAGGCTGGAGATTTTTTGTAATTCTTCTATACCTTTCAGAAATTCTCCTCTGTGGTGTACAAATTCGATTTCTGATGATTTGGAAAAATGATAAAAATAGGTGGTCTTTTTAACATTTGTTCGAATTTTGGGGGATATATCTGAAAATTAATTTTGAGGAGTAGCATTTTCCAAATTCCCAATTGAATTTGGGGGGTGGTTTGGAGATTGATTTCTCAAATTTAGGTAAGAATTATAAATGTGTTTTACTATACATTGTACAATAATACTAAAGGTATCATATAACACAACAATTGAGATGAGAATATGTCATTTGCTAGTAGTAAATGCGGTTGAAACTTGAAAGTGGATTGATATGAACAAAAATGACACTCGTATTGAAGGAGATTTCAAGTTCAAATCATATTGATTGATGGCTCTGTCGTGCCCCCCTCTCTAATAATCCTATAAAATTAGTTATTGTAATCTTGTATAAACATTATAAAATTCCTCTTAAATTCTTTAAATGCCCCCCTTTCTTGTTGTATTATATTTCATGCTCATGTTAAATTTTTTAATTGCATATATTTTGTTACTATGAATCAATGAGTAGAGAAAAAAAAAAGGTGATGCAAGTAGGGATTTCCTTGAAAATTAGGTTGATTTCTCATTTAAAAAAAATAGAGTTTTAAATTGTAAAAATATTCACTCTTACTTAAATTCTTAACTCCACCTAATGTCGCTCATTGGTTAGCCAATAATCAAAATATTTGTTACAAAATTAGGTGTGTGAGTTTTGTATATTCATGAAGAAGTTGAGGTTTTATCTTAAAATCAATTGGCAATAAGGGAAGTAGCTCAACTCCTTATAATCCATTGTCATTACGATTAAAAAATACGACCTCACCTAAGGCTCATATATAAGATCCTCGCTACTAAATTCTTGCTTAATAAAACAACTACTAAACAAACTTAGAGAAATTATGAGATGAGGATAGGGCCCAAAAGTACATCATTTGCAGAAATACTAGGCCGAGCTTGGTACAGCCTATTAACAGTCTCTGGGCTAGATTGTGACCTCGAATGGGCTGAATGATTGCCACGTGTCGTGGACCCAATAGTAGTAGCACCAAAGTTTATGCACATTATGGTCACCATAATTTAGGGTTGGAGAGGAGCTGTGAGAATTGAGCCTGAAATAAAAATCATAATTTGTTTAAAGACAAATAAAGGCGCGGATCGGCGAGTCTTCTTGTATTTTTCGTCTCTTGTCTTTTCTATTAGCAGCTTCGACTTTGGCCCCATCCTTTTGGAATAATTCCAAACAGGGCATCCAAATATATTGTTTTTCGGAAAACTCCACGCCTTTTGGTCTTTTCTTATTTTTTCATTCATGCCCCCCGGTTGATCTCCTTTTTCTTTTGTAAATTAATGAACATTTTTGCACACGGATATTTTTTTTAAGAAGTAAATATACATTTCCATATCCTCTTATGTTAAAAAAATACAAATGTATAAATAAACCCAATACTAAACATGTATTTATAAAAAAATCCAAGCACTATTTAAACATAGAAACACACCCAAAATCAACCCCAAAGTCAACTTTTTGGGTGTGTTTATAAATGGGTTTTGAGTGTGTGTAATGATGGGTTTTGGGTGTGTTTATATGTTTAAATAGTACTTGGATTTTTTTATAATTTCAACCCCCATTTTTTGTGTTTTAGTGAAACTCCCTAAAAAAAAATAGAACAAAATATTATAGTTGTTTCACTACTTATCATCATCATAATTATCTTTGAATTTTTCCTATGATGTTAAGTCATGGCAAATTTTTTTTATAAATATTTTCATATTAGATTGAGGGCTCTCGTTTAAATTATGCAGAGGCTCTCAAAATCTCAGGACCGACTATAACTAATATTATATATATATATATATAAAGCAAACATGTCAAACGGTAAACAACCCTTAATTAGATAAGATGATAAGATGCAACAAATTAATATAATGAAATTAAAATGATAACACAAATATCATTTAAATAAAATGAAAAACACAAAACCCACTTTCTCAATGTGCCACTTATCCCACTTATCCCACTCCACCACCACCCATCTATCTCTCTTTCTTTTTTCATTTGTTTTAATAATTAATGCTAATATAAAAAACACATAAAAATTTAAAATGTATATCAATTTTTCAATAAATATCAATTGGCATGCGCATGAGAGCGTGGCAAGAGGTTAGTTTGTGTCACGCGCATGCCAATAGGCTAGTTTGTATAAATAATTACACTTGATAACAAGAAAGTAAATTTAGGTTTTAGCCAAAAAAAAATTTTCACTTTTGGAAAAACCCAAAACTTTTTCAAAAAAGACAGAAAAACCTCTCAACTTTCAAATCAAAGACATGCAAATATAAAGAATTCCTTAGGAAATCCAAAAATAAATAAGGGCAATTTTGTCCATTTTGGCTTCTTTTACAAAATTTCTCTCTCCTTTGTGTTTTTCCAAAGTCTCCCTAAAAAGAAGTTGGAGCAGTGTCAATTTATAAAACTCACCTCTCATCAGGGCAACAACACAATTATGAAAAATACAGGGGTCCAAAAAAGGAAACCAGTTAACAAATTAATTTTTTCCGCCGTGTTCCCTCCACATCTATCCGAAACTAAAAATTCCCTCCCTTCCCTCGTTTTCTGCTAGCTCTTCCCCTAACCCCTTAACCCACTTTCCCTCTCTAACCCTCACTTTCTCTCTCTAACCCCTCTCTTTCTCTGTCTACCCACTCCGGATCCCATTTCGGCTCCCCATAAACCCTGAACCTCCTCCTCCTCCTCTCTCTCTCCGATTCTCTCGGTTCCCCAAACCCTAAAGATCTGTCTCTCCTTCTCCGATCGTCTTTGGCAATCGGAAACCGCCGATAGTTCGAGCCGGTCGATCCCTCCATGTCCAGCTGCGCTCGAGCTCCTAACCGCCAACCAACGCCGGCGACGGCGGCCACCGCCGGTGGCACCCAGATCCTGCCGCCGCTGAGGCGTCACCTCGCGTTTGAGTCGACGAAGCCGCAGCCCTTCCCTCCGGATAATTACCATCGATTTGCTGGAAGTGCTCGCGGAGTTGGTGACCAAGAACCTGAAGCTATTCATGTTCGATCTCCTGTGAGTTATTGCCATTTCACGCATATCTGCGTGTCTATCTCGCTGCGTTGCTTTGTTTTGGGGAATTGTGTTGTAATTGCTTGAGGATTTGATAATTGTGGTGAGGAAGATGGTTAGATGCTTTCAGAGTGCTTGTCTGGATTTTTGGCTGAAGCGATGGTTTGTGTGTTTAGGGTTTCTATGAGATTGGTATCAATTTGTAATAAGAAAATTGTGATTAGCTCATCAGTGCTATTTTGTAGGTAATAAACCCCTATTCTTCACTTAACTCTAAGGTACTGATTGTTAAGATATTTAATTTGGTGGTACTTTATTTGTCAACTTATTGCAATTTTGTAAGTTAAGCTAACATAATAAAATCGTAAGTTTAGCTCTAATGCAACTTGTCAAAGTGAAGAATTGGGAATGTTCGTGATGAGGGAAAAACTGAGATGTGGATATCTGATATGGTGCTTGTGTATCACATTATACTGCGTTTCCTAATCTGTTAAGAAGTTACGGGTGTGACTGTAGGTTTTCGAGTTGTAGTATTTGGCTCCTTTTTGGAATCAATTGTTGCTCATGAGATGTGGTAATTTGTTGAGAAGATTGCATGATGCTTATCTGTTATATGTTTAGCACTTGAAAACAGGTGCATTTCTGCTCTGTGTGTTTGCGGTGATTCTATCCTCATGAGAGAGAAAGATACATCATATATGTCTGTTTAGTAATCTTACTTATTTTTTATTTATTTAAAAAGAGTAACTCCTTATTGCTTTGGCCGTTTACCTTGACGTTACTGTCAACTATGCTTAGTGGCAAGAAATTCTTCCCATTTCATCCTTGTGGTTACATCCTCCACCCTCCAACTCATCTTAATTGATTTGCAATTTTTATCTCGTTGATACCCTTCATTATCTAAGAGATCCACTATAGTTGTGCATTTTAACTAGCATGGTTTCTTACTTGCCTTGTGCCTATTGTTAATAATAACTCTTCAACCTTTGCTGGTGTTTTTCAGCAACTTACACGGAAGGATAATAATGAAGTTGAGTACAGTGATTGGACTAGCAGTCCTGGATATACTAATGTCGTTCAGAGTCCCCTTCAGACTCCCGTGTCTACAAAAGGGGGAAGGATAAACAATAGGTCAAAGGCGTCAAAGGGCAATAGATCTGGGCCTCAGACACCTGTGTCAAATGCTGGTGGGAAATTTTCTTATCTCTTAGGTTTTTTTTCCTTGACTTTCATCATTTCTTTGGCATAACTCAAACAAATCACCAAGATAAGCTTCAATAAAAGTTTAGTCCATGTAGGGTGCACATCCTTTTTTTTAAGACTATATTGTTATATAGATAAATGGATTTGTCTTAATCTAATTGGATACTTTTTGTCAACATGCAGGCTCCCCTTCTCCTCTTACTCCAGCTGGCAGCTGTCGTTATGACAGTTCTCTAGGTAATCTTTGAATGAGTACTTGTTTTCTTTTAATACTGCCAGTTCTTACGGCTGTCAAATGATGTCACTATGAGATAACTGTACTCAAACTTTCCAGGTCTGTTGACAAAGAAATTCATCAATTTGATTAAGCATGCAGAGGATGGAATTCTTGATCTAAACAAAGCAGCAGAAACTTTGGAGGTAACCATTTTCTGTTGTTATACATACATATGAACGCATATATTATCCGCATTTGGGTCTGTACTGATTGAAAGGTTTGCAAATGAAACAGGTTCAGAAGAGGCGGATATATGACATTACAAATGTCTTGGAAGGCATAGGTCTAATTGAAAAGAAGCTCAAGAACAGAATACGTTGGAAGTAATCTTTGATTGTTTATTCCAAAATTTCCTTTCTTGTGTCTAAATTCAATTCAAGCTCTAATAAAATTTGGAACACATGGGAACTTACACAAGGATGTGTTAAATGATTGATTAGGGGATTTGATGCTTCAAGGCCAGGGGAGTTGGATGGTGATCTCTCTATACTACAGGTATTTAAATGTTGCAAGCTCTTGTCATGCAAAGACCAGGAGCTTATTTATTTATCTATGTTTGTTGTCTTTTGAATCATCATGAGTAAGCTTCTTCTGTAGTAATTATAGATCCGCAGTTTTAGCTGTCTACATTGCTATGAAATCCATGGTGCTAAAAGGAAACAATGAAAATTTAGTGGCTTTTCTAAGAGATGGACTTTCTAAGTTGTGACTTTGTCCTGCAGGTGGAAGTTGAAAACCTATCCTTAAAAGAGCGCACATTAGATGACCAAATAAGGTTTATGCCATTGATCTTCTTTCTGAAATCAATTTTACTATCTTCAAACTATTGGAAGATGCTGATGCTTTTGCACTTTTGCAGAGAGATGCAGGAAAAGTTGAGGGATTTGAGTGAAGATGAAAACAACCGAAAGTAAAATCTTCTTGTTCATCAATATTTCTGATTCTTTTCTTGTTCAATTGTTTTGTTTATATTATTAATTACTTGCTTCCATTTATGCTCGTACATTTTTATGGTACCTTCCAACTTGTACTCTAGATGGCTGTTTGTCACTGAAGAAGACATTAAAGCCCTACCTTGCTTCCACGTGAGTATCGTGCATCACTTCTAACTCTTTGTTCTATGATGGTTTAGTGGTTTCCATTAAACTACTCGTGCCTTTTCTTTTCCAGAATGAAACCCTGATAGCAATTAAAGCTCCACATGGAACCACCTTGGAAGTCCCGGATCCTGATGAAGTAAGTCAAGAACCTATATTTGTTTCGGAAGGCACATACTCTATTTTCCTTTTCACTTTGGTACAATTTTGATTCTCCTTCAATATACACCAGGCAGTTGACTATCCACAGAGGAGATACAGGATCATACTTAGAAGCACAATGGGACCCATTGATGTCTACCTTGTCAGGTATTGTTTCCTTCTTTTGTGGATGAAATAACTACATACATTTATGGGCTTTCTTCAATCTGAATAGGACCTGCTTGTTTTGCATGTTGAATGGGATTATGGGTAATGGGATATCCTGTTGTTTTTATTTATTTCTTTATCTGTGTTTATTACTTGATTTTAGTCAATTTGAGGAGAAGTTTGAGGATATAAATGGCGCTGAGCCACCTGTGAGTTTCCCAATTGCTTCTGGTTCTGTGTCCAACGAACACCCAACAACAGAAGTGATCACTGTGGAGAGCAGTGGAAAGGAAATTGAACCTTGGGCGCAACAGGCTGATCAAACGTGCTCTGATATTAACGCTTCTCAGGAGTTTGCTGGGGGAATCATGAAGATTGTCCCCTCTGATGTTGATGTAAGTATAATTATTTTGACCAATTTCTTTTGTTAAGTAATTGAAAAGCAAAAAAAGAAAGCATAATTTCAAGACTGAAAGTCGATTCGTGTAATTTTTTTTTCAAAACCAAGAATATTCTCAACAATGTATATGTTTATAATTTGGGAAATCAAATTTCTGGTGGACAATATGTGGATTCTGATTGAATACCTTTTTGTTACTGTTGCAGAATGATGCAGACTACTGGCTTTTGTCTGATGCTGAAGTTAGCATTACAGATATGTGGAGAACGGATTGTATCCTTTTTCAAAGATGTTCCTCTTTTAGCTTTTCACCCTTGCTACTCTTTTCAGTTCTTTTCTCTTTGACGATTATTATCTAACTGTTGGAGTAATCAGTTCCTTCACCATGACAACTATAGCTGGTGTTGGATGGAATGGGGCAGACATTCTACACTCCGACTTTGGAGTTTCTGATGTTAGTATAACAAGGCCACAAACTCCCCCATCTGGGATTGCTGAAATTCCACCTCATGCTGTTAACTTCTCTCAAAGGTGAATTGTGTGACTAGCCTATCTGTAGAAATTTCATGTATCTACCCCATCGGAGGCTTCCATCTCTGTCGATTATTGCATGGAGGTGCCAAGTAGTTGCTTGATAAATGAACACCGGCGAAGCTTGTGGAAGAAGCTGATGGATTACAAGCTGGGAATTATTGTTATACTGTACAGTTCAGTATGTCTTTGACCCCTGTTGTAGGAATAAAGAGTTAATCATAAAACTTTATAATTGGTGGATATTCAGCAAGGAATTGATTGGCGGATGAAATAATCGTAGGCTATGCTACATACGGGAGGAAGTAATGCTGAATCTAAATGCATAATCTAGAGTTGTATAATGCATGCTCATTGTTTAATGCACGCATACCATGGGGTTCCGTTTGGAATCCTTTGTCTGTAAATTCTGTGATTTTAAACATGTTGCAGGACGGGCTTGCTAGGTATTGTCAAGGCAGCCAAGATTTCTAGCCCTGAGTTCAATCTTATTTATTTTCTTGCGAATTGTTGACACCATTTTTATTGAATACGTCACTTTTACTCGTTATGTTGCGTTTCATTCAAAAAATTCTTTGTGAAAATTTCATCAAAACTTTTTCTCTATTGTAGTTTAAACTTTGAGGATCTAAGATGTTGGTTTGTATCTCCGTTCTTTGTTAATTTCTTTAAATAATTTTTTGCCGTTATAAAATTACGTATAATAGGAGGAAAGAATGGTGGTAATTTTGTCTAAGACAAAAGAAGAGTGGTACTTGTGTTAAATATGCTAGAGCGTGGGCCAATTGGTTTTATTTTTTTATTTTAGAATTAAAAAAGATGATGGGTAGTTGTGTTCCATAAAAATAAGACTCATTATCTTATTTTGTTTTTTAAATTTAAATTTTGTTTAATATGAAAAGTGTGAATTTAACATATTATCCTCATTTAATTAATAATTTCAATTCTTAACAATTTGCATTAACTAATGATATTTTCTGGTGTTTTGAATGTTTCACTATTTTTTGCCTTTATATATACTAACCCTGACCTCTCTGAGCGTTTGCCAATTGGTTTTGTTTTTAATTTTTAAGAATTAAGAAAAGATAAAATAAGTAGTTATGTTCCATAAAAATATGACTCATTATTTGATTTTTTTAATTTTTGTTAATAGGAAAAATATAAATTGACCATATTATCCTCATTTAATTAATAATTTCAATTTTTAATATTTGCATTAATCAATGACATTTTTTGGTATTTTGAATGTTTCACCATTCTCTGCCTTTTGCTTTATATATAGAGATAGATAGATAATCTAATGTGCCCATATGAGAAACTAATCTAAAAAACCATACTCGAGGAAAATTTCCAAGGTTTCTTATTTGGACAATTACCCTTTAAAAAAAAACAAAAAAACAAAAAAACAAAAGAATGCATGATGACCTCTTCTGTTAATTTTCCTTTTCTGGGATTTTGCTTAGTGAGAATTGGTGTGGCATCTAGATGTGCAGATATGACAAACTAGTTTTTCATTCTTTGAATATATAACGTACTGAAAATAAATTTGAAGTGACTTTCTCGTTCTCTTTTTTAACAAGCAATAATCTCATGCGATCAGGGAAGTAGCTAGAGATCTCATGCAATCAGGGAAGCAGGTTGAGAAATCTAGTAACCACGCAGATGATTGACCCCGAAATTTGAAACAAGTAACCTAACCAGTTGTCAATCTAATTTCCTTAGGATGGATGAAGGTTTTTGAGATCCTTAATTACTTTCTTCATAAGTTTTTTGTTTACCACATACTATCTATGTTGTTTTGTTTGTTCATCTTTTCATGTTGGGATTACGGCAAAGTCTCTCTTCTAGTCAAACTTTCCTTTAAGAATTTCCAAAAGAAATTAATTAATTTTTTGGACCATTTGGGCTCCAAAACACGGTGAAGACCAATTTCACTAAAAATTGGATCGAGTACGGTTCTTACAAGAAGAAAAATACTCAAATTGGGCATGTACATAAAACACAAAAGAAATTGTTAATTTTTAAAAAGAAAATAGTTGCGAACCGGGTCTAGTGTAATAGAAAGGGGTCTTCATTTGCATACATGTTCGAACCCTCATGACACCTTGGTAATGTGTGTGAGATCCCCTCCCCTTCTAATTTAGGTTATCACTTGTGTTAAATAATAATAATAATGGAGAATGCTAGTAACTTTCTCTCTTGGACATTCCCCCTTTTCCTCATGACATGTGTCACTTTTCTTATACTTAAAATAATATCATTAACCTTCTCTTTTGGTGAAAATTTCATCGTTACCTTTCAACTTTACTGTCGGTTGAACTTTGAGGATATGAAATGTTGGTTTATATCTTCGTTCTTTGTTAATTTCTTTAAATAATCTTTTGGCCGTTAAAAAATTACTTGAAATAGGATGAAAGAATGTTGTTAATTAAATATATAATTTAATATGCAGATTTTAGAAAAAAAAAAAAAAATCAGTTTTGGGAAAATTCTTGTTCACCCGTTTAGATTTAGTTCATGTAATGATATGGTAAAATTCTCCACTGGCTTGAAAACCATTTGTGGTCAACAAGTCAACTTTCTTTGGTGTGCGAGTGTGCCACTGTTAGCAGACAAGACTCTAGCAGACTTATGAAAAATAGATAACTTGCGCCCTAAGTTACAGATTTTAAACAAGTGATTGTGAATTTGGGTGAGGAATATCTCTCAAGTAAGTTCTTTTATTGCCTCAGACTGGTGATGACTTCATAATTTCTCACAGTAAAAACTAGTAGTTTTAGCCAAAATGAATATTGAAAATAAATCAGATTGTTTTAAAGAGAACTGTCTATTACACAATTTAAAACAAAAGAAAAATGCCACGTCTGGAAGGACATCAGAACATTGGGCTTCGATTTCTACTTGGATTGTTGCCTGTGATTCAGGCTGGACTGGATATATCTGTGGATTCAAATGTCAGCACCTTCAATTGATGATGTTTAGCTGGAAATCGATACTAATGTTGAGATTGGTAGAGCTTTAATCTATTTTAGCCATGGAGATGCTTGTTGGATGGGCATAATTGAGATCTCTTGAGTTTGGATGCGGCTGGAAGTGGTTGGATTGACGATTGCTAACCTGGAGCTACACTTCAGTACTTGTTCTGCTTGATTATGAATCATCCAAGAGCTATTCTGGCAATTCTAAGAGATCAAGGCATCTCTATAAATTTGTTGAGGTTTTCATATTATGAAAAACTTGAGTTCTGCTTGATTCGCCTATGTTGACCCAAATTCCTAACGAGAGAAATCTCGTCCTCTTAGTGAGCTGCTTCTTTAAGTTTAACTTGAAGTCAGAAACCTGAGTTCTGCCTGTTCTGTCAGAGATTGGATATCTTTTGTAAATCAAAGAGCTTGATTGCTTCAGAGTCTGAAGGCTTTTGAGATCATATGATCTTGTTTTAGTTTGTCAGTATGACTGAGAATTTTTGTCTGTCATTTATCCTGCTCATCTCCTCTTATATTTATAGAGAATCTGAATAATGGTTTATTCCTTAATATCTGGAGGAAGAAATAATTGAAAGGATTCCTTGTTCCAGCGCGAAAAAGGGATAGTGGTTTAGGCTGACAATAGAAAACCCCCATCAAAAGTCAGCTTTCATGATGATCAGTTTTGATCTCCTATCAACAAACTCTCTTATTTCTTGTTTATCTCCTGTAAACCCCACTTGCCCTGATGCAAAATCCTCACGAGCGTAAGAAAGAAACTTGGCCCTCTTTTCTGGCATTAAATGGTTATGGGGAGTGGTTTTCCAATTAAACCTTCTACCAACTCCTCATCACGTCCTCTGCCATGTTGAAATTTTGACTTTAGAGTCACGTGGGCTTTTTTGAGAGGGATTTTCCCCAAGAATCTGCTGACATGATCTCTGAAATTGTGATAAACAATGATGATCAAATTTTGAACCTTTGGAGAGACTAGCAGCTAGGCTTAATTTTTTACTAATTAGAAACTGATTTGTCTAGATTAAATCACCATTAATAGCGATTAATCTTTAATATGTAAATTTATTCCTTGCAATTGGTTCATAAAAGTCTCGGCCTCTAAATCTATATGGGTTGACTTTTGATTTTGGTAACACAAAGCCCAAACCACTGTTTTTGACATGGGCTAATAGTTAGTTGGGCTGACACGTGAAATTTAGGCCCAAACAATTCTTTTTAATATGCACAATAAATTATTTATTAGGGGTGATAAAAAAAAATTAAAGCACACATGGGTGTATTATATGAGTTGACATGCAACATAATGTGGTTTATAATTGTGGTATTCAAGTATCTTAACAATCAAGTTTCCGAGTACTTGGCTATATATAGAAGGCCATTGCCTGCTTGGATTTCGTCGATTGTCGTCTGTGCATTATTCTCAATCAAATTTTGGAAGAAGATGGCTGAAATTCCTCAATACATGCTCAGCCGACTAAGTGACCTTAAAATAGAGCCTCAACAAATCGTACACAACGTTGCCGAAATTACATTTTCTCAAAACGATATGACGACTGATAATCTCCATCTACAACAACAACTAGGCGACAACTTATGTGGCCTACCCACTAACAAAACACGTAAAGTGTTTTTCATGGGACCCAACTCGCTTCAAACAGGCGAGATGTATCTGATGTCGGTTGGAAACCATGGTCATGTTTTAACACGTGGCTGGAACCAGATTGTGAGTCAGGAGATGTTCAAGGCTGGTGAGATTGTGCATTTGTCTGCCTTCAGAGACCGCTTTGACATCCTGTGGATTCTTATGCATTATAAGTATAGGATGCATTTCTAGTTGATGGTGGAGAGGAGTTGAAGAGATTTCGTTTGTTATTACTAATTAGAAGGTTTTTTAGTTGATTTGTCTGGTATTCTATTGAATTATCAGTATCAATAATATGGTTAAGTAATATTATATTATTAATATGATGTTATGATGTTGTTTTCTCTTCCACACCACACGGTCACTAATCCACCATTTGTTAATTACCATGCATGGACTATGTTGTTTGTGATCATCTTTTTCACGTTGGAGGAGTCTTTTCTAGGCCAACTTTGCTTTAAATTTTCCCAAAACAAAAAAACATATGTTTCCTTTTTCTTTTTGACTTGCGTAAATAGAAATTGGATCAAGTCTGATTCTTCCTATTGTATTGGAGGACAGAGCGAACAGTGAATGGGGAAGAAAGCATGGGTTTCGGGCTTTTGGGTTTGGATTGGTGAGGAAGGAGGAGGAGGATGGCTTGGCGTTGAAGAAAGAGCATTGCGCCTTCTATGGCCCCTTGCCTTGGATCGGTTTTTTGTTTTCCTAAAAACACTTAATTCCTTTTTAATTGTTTATTTTATTTTATGTATTTTAAGTTTTAAAATATATTTTATTTTATTTAAAATCACGTGGCTCTATACTATTGGATGTATAGGCTCCACATATGTGCCACGTCAATAATTTAACAGAAAATTTGACGAAAGTTAACGGCATGAACCATTTTGATGCGTGAAGGGTAACTTTAAGGACCATTAGTGTCAAAAAAAAAGTTAGAGATGAAAGGTGATAATTTCGCAAACCTTATAGACCATTTGAAATATTAAAAAATCTAGAATAAATTATAGTTACTTGTTATTAGTTTGTTTTTATTTTCTTTCAATTATGATAATGGTAAAATAGGGACAAATGAGGGTATTTCTTATAGTATAGATTATAGATAAGTTCACACAAAACCCCTTGAATATCATGACACATAAATACGTAAATACTTCCTAAATAGAGAGTGGACCCCACGCATATTCTGGGAGATTGGATTTTTAAAGAAATAAAAGACAGGTGTGTGCGAATAGTGACAAAAACGAAGTTTGTTTGTAGGCCAATAATTGCTAAAGCGCAAGCCGCCGGAACCCAAACACCGCGTTTCTCGTTTCTCTCTCTCTCCCACAACACAACGCATTCTTGCTTTCTTTTCTTCTGCTCAACAGCTATGGACTCCTCCTCCACCGCCCTTAGCCCACCACGGAAGCTCCGCCGCAGAAATTCTATCTCCACATCCGTCGTGGTCCCCACCAATCTCAGCCTCCTCTCCCCCACCACTCCCCCCACTAAGCATCTCCACGGCCTCCACACCTCCAGCTTCCCCGCCCAAAAAGGCGACTTCTCTTCCCGCCCGCCGCCGCCTCAGCTCACCCTGGAGGTCCACTCCCTTCAGCGCGCCGCTTCCTACACGTTCCACCAACACCTC